TCCTCTTTTGATTTAAAATCTCCCTCTTCCTGTCTTTTATAAGACACTTGTGATTCTACTCAGGGCCCATCTGGATAGTCTAGGATAATCTCTCCATCTTGAAATCCTTAATCATATCTGTGAACTTCCTTTTGCCATATAAAGTAACATTCACAGGATTCTAGGGATTAGAACATGGATATGTTGGGGGCTATTATTCAGCCTACCACACATGCATATCAAAATTAAGTCATATCTTTACCTCCTGAACAATAGTACAAAGAGGACTTAGAATACTTTCACCCTTAACAAAAGCCTTATTCTGGGGCACCTGGGTGGCTCGGTCAGTTGAGCATCCGACTTCGGCTCAGGTCATGATCTCAAGGTTAGTGGGTTGGAGCCCCACGTCGGGCTCTGTGCTGACAGCCAGCTCAGATCCTGGAGCCTGCTTCAGATTCTGTGTCTCCCTCTCTCTCTGACCCTCCCCTGCTCATGCTGTCTCTCTCTCTCTCTCTCAAAAATAAATAAAACATCAAAAAAAATTTAAACAAATGCCCTATTTATATGCAACTGTTCAGTATTTCAGTTATTATTTTTAACCACATAAACCACACTATAACTTTAGTATTTTTATAATGTTTGCATTTATATACATATTTTCCACTTTATTTGCCATCAGTAATTTTTTCATTTAGGACCTTTGGGATGTTTTCCATTTTTCCTGAAATCTTTTTAATTTTTATTTTTTAATAGTTTTTTAATTTATTTTTGAGGCAGAGAGAGAGATGGGGCATGAGCGGAGGGAGCGTCAGAAAGAGAGGGAGACACAGAATCTGAAACAGGCTCCACGCTCTGAGCTGCCTGCACAGAACCCGACACGGGGTTTGAACCCACAAAATGTGAGATCATGACCTGAGCCGAAGTCGGACGCTTTACCGACTGAGCCACCCAGGCGCCCCTCTTGAAATCTTTTAAAAGTTTCCTTATTATAGGTCTCCTGTTGGTAAACTCTGTCATTTTTATCTCTAAATATTACTTTTAAAAACTGCTCATTTGTGGGGCACCTGGGTGTCTCGGTTAGTTAAGTGTCTGATTCTTGGTTCTGGCTCAGGTCATGATCCCAGAGTTGTGGGATCAAGTCCCCCGTTGGGCTCTGTGCTGACAGCGTGGAGTCTGCTTGAGATTCTCTCTCTCCTTCAGTCCCTCTCCCTTGCTTGTCTGCACTCTCTCTAAAAACAAAAAACAGCAGCAACAAAACAAAACCTTCATTTATGCGAGTTTTGTTGGAACACAATAGATGGGCTGTTAGTCCCAACACTTTGAGGATGTAATTCCACTGGTTTCTGGCTTCCTTTGTTGTGAGGATATTATTCTACTAGCTTTTGTCTTTCTTTGTTGCGGTTTAAGAAATCTGTTGTTACTTTGATTATAGCTTTCTTTGTAGCAGTGTTGGCAAACATATTAAAGGGACAAATAGTAAATATTTTGTGGCTTGTGGGCCATATGGTTTCTGTGGTCTCTGCTGTAACTACTCAACTCTGCCACTGTGGGCCAAAGCAACCCCACCCAATACATCAGGGAGCTGGCATGGTGGTTTTCTAGTATCTTAGAGACAGCGACTTTTGCCAGCCCCTGCTGGAGCGGGAGTTGTACCTTCCCTTTGATTAATGCCTTTTTGTTTGTTTATTTTTTATTTTTGAGAGAGAGAGAGATAGCATGTGAGCAGGGGAAGGGCAAAGAGAGAGGGAGACACAGAATCTGAAGCAGGCTTTCAGCTCCGAGCCGTCAGCACAGAGCCCGATGTGGGGCTCGAACTCACGAACCACGAGATCATGATCTGAGCTGAAGTTGGAACTGTGGAGGTGATTATGGTACAAAGACCCAAGAGAAGCCTGTAGAAGGTGAGAATTATCCCTAGTGGACACCCAGAAAACAGCAACATTAGCCCTACAACCACCTGAAAAAGGACCTTGAGCCCTGGCTGAGATCACAGCCATGACCAACACCTTTACTACAGCCTGGAGAGATTGATTCTAAGCAGTGAATCCAGCTCAGGATACCCACGCTCCTGATCCAATGATACTGGGAGACAGTAAATTTGTGTTGTTTAACGACACCACCAGTAAAGTTATAGTTGTCAGCTGTGCAGAAATAAACTAACACAAAAAGCCAGGCAATGGGTTCCCTTGGTGAGTAGGAGGTGATGACTGGGAAGGAAATCTGGTGTAGCTTCTGGAATGTTGGTGATGTTCTATTTCTTGATTTGGGTATAGTATAAATGGGTGCTGACTTTATAAAAATCCATCAAAGTAGGCACTATAACATATACTGTCTATAAGCGATGTTCCACTTCAATACAAAGTTTACATGAAAAGACATTGGTATGTATTGTATTATTTTATATGCAGGGTAATTTTAGGGCATGTATGAATCAACTACAAACAAAATGATTTACATTTAGTCCTAAGGGCTCCTAACATGGCTATATTTCTCTTAAATCTTTACTTGAGTCTTTTCAGTCCTGTCCTAATTTTTCTCTTTTTTCAGTCCTGTCTCAATTTGTATTCCTTTTTCTCCCTAATATGAGGGGGAAAAAAAGATCTACAACTAAATTTGGGAATGGAATATTACCTCTTACGTTTTTAAAATACACTGTGTATATTTGGTAAGTACAAATTAACGCTAATGCACTTCCATGTTTCTATTTCTCACTTTTAAAAGTCGACTTCAATTTGTTCTTTCCAAACTATCTTCTTGTGAGCTTTTCTTTGATTATGTTAATTCTTTAAATACGTCAAACATTCCACAATCTGAACGTAACAATTCCACTATTTATATTCCTTAGGTGTCCAATTCTGTTGGTTTTTTTTTTCTGTTCTCATTGATTGTAGCTTCTCTATGATCAACAGTTTAGATAATTTTAATGTTAGTTTTTTCATGTTAATGTTGCTGCCTCAAATAGACATGAATTAAATCCTACAAGAGAGGGTAGCACAGACCCAGGGTCTGATTTCTCATACCTTATTGCTATTTTTCTTTTCATTCTACGTACTATTTTTTTTCATTCAAGGTACTAAGTTTTTTTTGCTGCTTCCCTCGGGCCAAATGATGTGGTTTTACAGGTCCTCATTTTTCCTGTATTAACAGCTGTTTTTAACATGAAGGAGTTGGATTTGCAGCTCTCCTGAAGGCTCAGAGCTACGGTTCTTACTGAGCACCAGGACACAGCATCCACTTTTCACACTAGTATTGTTTTCTCTTCTTTGTAGAAATGTGGGTATTTCCATCATTAATTATTGTATTAGTCTCTTAGGGCCACTATGACAAAATGCCACAGACTGGGTGGCTTCAACAACAGAAATGTCTTTTCTCACAGTTCTGGAGCCTGGAAGACCAAGAGCAAGGTGTGTGCAGGTTGGGTTTCTTCCGCAGTCTTTTTCCTCAGCTTGCACACGGCTGCCTTCTCACTGCTTCTTGTAGGGTTTTTTCTGTGTGCAAGCTCCCCCCCCCCCCCCATGTCTCCATGTCCCAATCTCCTCCTCTTGTAGGGATCCCAGCCAGACTGGATCAGGGCCCATCCTCACGGCCTCATTTAACCTTCATCACTTCTTTATGGCCCCGTCTCCAAACACAGTCACATTCTGAGGTACCAGGGGCTAGGATGTGAACATAACAATTTGGGGGAGACACAGTTTACTCCGTAACAGCTATGCATGTGAAGTTTTGGGGGTTTTTGAAGTTTTTGAAGTTATTTTTATGTCTTTAAGCTGACAGAAGTCCTCTATGCTAATTATAAAATGTTTCAAACATTGTCTGAAAATATTCAAGACCCCATTCCCCAAAATTATAACTAAAAGCTCAAAATAAAGTTCTAAGCTTTTTTTAACCTTTTTTTTTTCTTCCTGGGACACAAGAGATTGGTTATAAGATTTCAGATGGCACTATTTCTGAGAAGGGGAATAGGTTTTTGGATATTAGATTTAAGTAACTACTAATTTTGGCATCTTTACTGCTGAAAGCAGCACGAGTACAATGAAAGCAAGTGTCTGGGAGTCAGATCTGTGTTAAGTGCTGCCACACTGGCCTGACCCTTCACTACTGTGCTGCTCTCAACAAGTGATTTAACCTTTCTGAACACCAAAGGTAATCTCCCTCCTTCTGTGGGCTGTCCTAAGGATTAAATAAGAAAGCTATTTAAAACAATAGTTCTAACATTTGGATGGTGACCATAAAGAGCACGGGGAAGCACATTTTAAAAGACACAGGTTTTAGGTCTGCTCAGCAGAGGGTCCCACTGGTCTGTGGTAGGGTTTAGGAATTTATAATCTTAAAAAGCTTCCCCAGGTGACACTGAACGTAGCTGAATTAAAAATTAATGTTAGATTCCGCTCACTCAGGTCCTACACAGACCTGTTCATTGATTTTGATAAATATATTTTAAATGGTATAGAAGTTATGGAAGAAGAGGTTCCTAAACTTAGTAAAGGTAATTTGACATTTGCTTAAAGATGCATGTCAGATTTTAAAAATGTGACTAACCTAAGAGTTATAAGTTTGTTTGTATACAACTCTCCTTGGTCTAAGAAAAACTGCATATCAGCTTGCAATATATATGCAAGAAGAAAATGAAACTATATTTTAAGAGGGTAAAACGGAGGAAAAATCTGACCAGCAAGAAACATGGAGGCTGGAGAAATTCTAAATAACAGAAATAGAATGGAGACAATGAACAAGTGAAAGTAAATTAAAAAATGTTTTAATAATGAAAACCTTCTTAAAATGATACAAGTAATCTGGGTTGTGCAAATAACCCAGAAAAGAGTGAAAGTCCCTCTGTTCCCTCCTGTCATTTCTCTTCTGTGACTTTTTTTTTTTTTTTTTTTTTTTTTTGAGAAAGAGAGAGAGACTGTGTGAGCTGGGGAGAAGGGTAGAGGGAAAGAGAGAATCTCAAGCAGGCTCCACGCTCAGCACAGAACTCAACATGGGACTCAATCCCATGATGCTGGGAGCATGACCTGAGCCAAAATTAAGAATTCGACAGTCAACTGACTGAGCCACCAGGCTCCCCATAAGACTTACTTATATATACATATGGACATGCCCTCTCTGTTGGGTTTTCAAAATTATACATATAGGATAATACTGTTTTGTAATTTGCTTTTTTTCACTCAATGGTACATTATGAACACCTTCAGGTTCAGTGTACACAGACCTAACTCATGTTTAGTGGCTGGACAGGTCACTCATGTTTAGCTTTTATATATAAAATACAAATAATATATATTACATATGCATTTACTTGCACTTATGTAAAAATTTCCATAGACTTGACTCCTGGATAAAAGGGAATGCTATACCCTTCTACCTTTTTCATATAACCTAACAGTTTTATACTTGTTAACCAAGAAATTACTTCAGTTTCAAAACATGCTGAATACATTCAGCTTCTATCTCCATATATTTATATATACATTCAACACAATCTATATGATCAACGTATGCATACTGAGTACAATACGCAGCACACAAGGCACGTTAGGACTTGGTGAACTTCAGGACTGAGAGGGTCTCTCGGCCTGCTTGCCTGGAAAGTGCAACAGTTCCTTGCAGACCCTTCGTTGTCATTGTTTGCAAAATTTCCTCTAAAATAAAAACAAAAGGTAAAGTCCAATTAAAATCGTCTGGTGAAGAGGGTATGATCACTAAACAGTTTGGTAAGATGATAGAGACAGATGATTTACAAATTCTACTCATCTGTGAAAACAATGTATTCCAAGTAAATTTCTATTAAAATGGACTTGATTCCAATGGGAGCATTTTGTAGTTTCTAGGTGTCGTTGAAAGTCTTAATCAGACTGACGGGCCTTGCTCTGCAGTGGTGACTACGGGCTTGACAGAAACATTAACTACACCTATCATTACAGCAAGTGGCTCGTTCAGTTTCTTGGCCCTAATCTTGGCCTCACACGCTTCCTCTAGAATGAAAAACGTCAACGAAGGTGGGCAAATGTATAGTGACAGCGCACAGTGGAAGGAAGCAGCTTATCTCGTTCAGGCATATTGAAAAAAGCAAGACCTTCCCTTTTGTAAATAAATAATACTAAGAAGACTGAGTTAAGAAAATGGAGCTACAAACAGAAACAAAACTTAGTCATCATGATGTGGTTTGCGGGGCTGAGAATGTAAGGTAAAGATAAAAATCAAACTTGTATACAGAGAAGAAAGATTCAGGTCAGTCTAGTTATGGAGTAATCTGACCAAGATTTCAACATCCACACCATGAGACGGCCTTCATGGTGGAACTTCACATGAACTCAACAGTATGCAGCACAATTGTCAAGGGCAAGAAGATTACAAGGGGAGAGAACATCCAAAATATTCAGGGTGAGGTGTTAAAAGAAGAAATTACAGATTTTGTGTCTGAGTATTAGTTTAGTAATTGGAGGAAAAACTGCCCCCCACCTTAAAAAAAAGTACTTTCTAAAACCAGAAAAAACTGTGTCTTAAAAATCTCTCTCTTCTTTCAAGATGAATGTTATGTTTGTATGAGCTGTTGTCAGAGATTATATTGATAATATTTCAGGCTACTTTATAAATTATAGTCTTTAACATGATTAACTTTTGATTTCAGCAAAGTCAGTGGTTAAAAGATAAACTGGTCTGTATTACCTGGATTATTTTCTTTAACGGTAACTAAATAGAATAATCCTCCTGGTGACAGAAGATCTGGAGCCAGTGGGAAGAGCCTGTTCATGACTTCTCGACCATTTCTGCCACCGGCCCAAGCAGCTTCTACTCCATGACTTCCCACCTGTAACCAAAGACTTTGGTGTCTATTCAAGTTATGTTTAGAATCCCCAATAGAATCTTTTTGACAAGTAACATTTACCAGACAAGTGCTGTGTATACTTTGTATCTTACTGTTGTCCCAGAGGCAGTAAAGCTGAGTGGGCCCCATCATTTCTTAGCCATGTGACCTTATGTAAAGTTTGTAATTTTTGTGATTAGTTTCCTCCCTTATCTATAAAATCAGAAAAACAATAGTTCTAACAGTAAAATTATAAAAATTACATAAACTATTTTTTCCACTTTTAGGAATATATGTAAAGTTTGAAAACAGGACCCTGCACATCAGGGCCAGCTTAGTAATAGCTGTTACTATTTCTGCAATGCTTATATTGATAGACATAGGTAATTCTTATACTTAATATAGAACACTCAAGAAGAAAATAAAAGACAGATCCTATGTTATAAAATATCTACTTTGTAGGAAGTTAGTTTCAAAGTGTGCCACTGCATCTGGCTCTTTTCTAGATTAAAGTATGACTCGTATAGACCTTTTTTAAGGAAACCACTTACTATATAAAGGCTCACCAAAGCATTTTTCCCTGTAACAATCCAATTCTATTGTAGAAGCAAAGCCCATGACAGTTCATACAGTATTAAAAATCTTTACACTCTTATGATTGTCTATTATTTTTCAAAACTAAAGAATATTTTGAAGAAGCCATCCAAAAAATATTTTAACCCTAACAATTAGTTTCTTTCTAAAATTATGGTTTAAATTAATTATATAAATCATGCCTACTGCTTTTATTCATATAAAATGGGATGTTTCTCCATTAAAATGAGTTTCTTTATTCCTAGGACTATATATATTATCTTTTTTTTTTTAATGTTTTTTATTTATTTCTAGGAGAGAGAGAGACAGCATGAGCAGGGGAGGGTCAGAGAGAGAGAGGGAGTCACAGACTGAAACAGGCTCCAGGCTCTGAGCTGGCAGCCAGCACAGAGCCCGACGTGGGGCTCGAACCCACAAACCGCGAGATCATGACCTAAGCGAAAGTTGGACGCTTAACCGACTAAGCCACCCAGGCGCCCCATATATATTATCTTTTAAGGAAGGGAGGTATGTTCATACACCTGCCTTCAGAAGAACGGCACGTCCCCTTTCACTGTTTTACTGGTCTGCTCCTCCCTCATATTATATACATACGTGTTTTCCTTTTTCATCCATGTTTTACAAAGACAGGATTATATCTACATCTTGCACCGTAGTTTGCTTTTCTCAGTCAACAGTACCTTATGGAGAGCTCTTCCCATGATCAGGTGTGGTTCTAATGTGCTCTTTTAATGGTCGCCTACGATTTTATAACGGAAAAGTAGCATATCTTAATGTAGCTATTGATGGGCACCCAAAGTGTTCATTTGCTTATTTTTTGAATCTAATTCAAATTATTCCCATATCTATAATAAACTTCTCAATACAATTTCCACGAAGTTAATCACATCAGGAGATTTACCAGTTCCTCTTTTCTGTCAAGGGTTTCTTCCTAGAGAGTTCGCTTCCTGGCATTCCTAGAATTACCTCTTTTTCTGGGGTTCATGTGTTCCTCTTCCTTGGTTTAGCCCTTATTTGGGGGGAGCCCATTCCCTGGACGTTTTATCAGGCAAAGTGTCTGTGGACAGAGTGCACGGGGAGGACAGGCTGTGCTGAGCCCGTCTCTTGTCATTCCCTTCCAGAATGGACTAGGGTCTCTGTGCTGGACCCTGATTGAATGCCTCCCCAGGGATGCTCAGCCAGGTTTATGTGCTGGCATTCGAAAGGCTCCTCCCGGAAGGTCTCCAGGCACATTAAGGCCACGGAGGAAGAGTTTCTATCTTTACAGGGAGGTCATGTTTGATGGTGCGCTGCTTGCCTGCTACCCGAGCCTTGCTGGGCCTGTTTCTGTTCCTTTAGAGCTCACAGGCACAAGCCAGAGGTCCTAACCTCATGTTTCTAGATACACTATTAAGAATAGCCATAATTTTTTATATACACAGACTCTTAACTATTTTTTTTTATATTATATCTCCTGGATTTAACCTCTAAGTCTCTTTTCTTTTACCTTCATGATTTCCTCCTTTTTATCTTCATGCTCTGTGCACTGAAACCTTTCATCTGGTTTCTGGAACACTGATTCTGGTCTTCGCAGAGAGCATATTCTCTTTTAATTCCTTTCCTAATGTCTTATTTTGTAAAGCATGCTTTTAAGCTCCAGGAGACCTTCACTGTGCTGCACTGTGGTTCTGCTCTTCAGGTAACAGCTCAACTCACCGGGATTATGACCCTAGTGCTCTCGGTTGGGGATGTGTAATAGCCCAAGGTGCTGTCTACACTCAATTATCTATATGTCCCAGCAGCTGTAAGGCTCAGCAGAAGTATGTAACTTAGTAGTGGCAGTGTGGAAGGAAAGAAACCCATTTGTGTCCCCATATTTCCAGAATCTTCTCTTTTCATTCACAGTCTTGCCAGAAATTTGTGAACCATGATTTACTTAAGCAAGCCTTAGTTCATTACTAAACTCTGTCTGCCTTGACCATTCTCGCTTGAAATTGGGAAATGGTTGATTTATCTCTTCATTATTGAAGACTTTCCAGATCATATATTTCAAGATGATTTATTTTCCCTACCTGAATTAAGAATCTTCCCCCCACCACCTGTGAAAAGAAGAAAACTGAGACTTTCGGATATATATGAATTTAAGGATGATTTAAAAATGCTTTTTTGCAAATTTGCCATTCATGATAAAGGACACACACATGCAAATTTAAACACATGGCCTGATTTCAATGGGAATTTTACAGGTGAATATGGGTCACTGTATTTCATTAGGTTTAGATTCCTTTCCTATGTCTACCAACATACTTAATTACTGATGACTGGGAGTAATATCAGAGCAGTTGATGACTATCATAATGAAGTTCATTTGATTATATAAAGAAAATAGATGAAAACATTAATAATCATATTTTGTTACATGTCTTACCTCTTCAGATGGAGTCACTACATAGGGGGGATTAAACACCAGAAGATCAACTTTTCCCTTCAATCTTGGTAGCAAGCCTTTGACCTAAATGTTCAATAGTCAGAATTTTAAGCTGGACTCAGAATTAAAATGGATAAATAAGTATATCGTTAAAAATACTCTCCTCCCTTGTTTTTAGGGAAAAATGTGTTAGAGAGCCAAAACTGTATACAGAGATAGAGATAAATATTTTTACATTTTCACTCATGTGTATAAAGATTACATGCATTTACCTAAAAATAAGAAAAACTATCTATCAGAATGAACCAAAAATGTTCAAGAAACCTTCTAATTTTCAACAGCTAATATGTTTATACTCTGGGTTTACTTTTAGAAGATTAAATAAGGAAGCAAGCACTCTGGTGTTCTACATAGATATACACACACTTTAAGGCTATAGATGTAACTTAAATATTTTCTATAATCTAGGAAAATGTTTCATGAGATGACAAAAATATCAGAAGATATACATATATAAGCATGTAAATATAGATCCATACATATTTACCTTCTACTGCTCTAATGACTCATAATGTATTGTCTGGAACAATTAGAGATCAAAGAAAGAACTGAAAAGAGTGGAAGAGACACTGAAAACATTAGCTGCTTGGCATTTTGTAAATCTTTAAACTGGGTACCAATTTTCTGTGAAACCACAATAAAAATGTCTTTTTAGGGTACTATTTTTCAGGGAAAAATGCCATTTAACGTCTTCCTTTGACTCCTCTGATGACTGAATTAAGTAAGTGTTTTCAAGAATCGTGTCTGGTCACGTCACCCTGCACCTTCACTGGCACAGTAAACTGAAAACACGGTATCTGGTGGTCTCACCTATCAAGCTAGTTCCTTCAATTACCACCTTGCAGACTCTCACCATGACTTCTGAGGCTATTCCTGAGATGGAATAGCTGAAGTGCTTCATGGCAGTGTCCAGAGTGTTAGCTGTTCTATTAACATTCTTGCAATTTCCCCATTTATGCACATGTACTTACTATTATTTACTATTTTTCTTTAAATGAACTTTGTTTTCGTTAAATAAATTTGCTGTAAAGGGAAATCACTATTACTTTCTGGAAATAGAAATCACTAGAAGGATACGTGAGATATAAAAATTATAGTTAATAGTTACTGTTGCCAGGCTGAGAGTGACCCAAGCCATCTGTCTCTGTTAGAGAGACATCTGTAAGTGTTGAAAAGGTGTTAAATAACAACAAACTGAGCCCTTTCCCTGGATGTAATCACAGTGGCTGAAAAAGAATTAAAGAGGAAAGAGCTTTGACATGTGATTCAAAGTTATTTAAAACTCAGTCATATCAGGGGCACCTGGGTGGCTCGGTCGGTTAATCGTCTGACTTCGGCTCAGGTCATGATCACACGTTCCTGGGTTCGAGCCCCGCATCATGCTCTGTGTTGACAGCTAGCTCAGAGCCTGAAGCCTACTTCTGATTCTGTCTCTCTCTCTCTCTCTCTGACCCTCCTCTGCTCACGCTGTCTCTCGCTCTCTCTCTCTGACCCTCCCCTGCTTACGCTGTCTCTCTCTCTCAGAAATAAATAAAACATTAAAAAAAAAAAAAACCTCAGTTATACCATCTAAGCGTTGGGCATATCACTGGGCTGTTATTTATATACATTGTGAAACACTGCCTTAGAACTTCTATTTTATCCTGGTTTCTAAAAGAAATACTCTATCACTTTTAAGCCAATTGACTATGTAGTTCAAAGAGAATGCTGGCACGGTATCTTTGTGGAGATGTTATAGGGTAACTTTTCTTTCTCCGTATCATTTCAAAAGAGAAAAGTAACATCTTTGAGAGAAGTAATCAAGGTGCATGCTTGTCTGCAAGTAGAAGAAGACTGGTTAATTTGCTGTTCCTTTTAGGAGTAACACTGGAGAGTGAGGAAATACATCTGAAATAACTAAAAGCTTTACTTTCAATTCCATAAAGAAATTAAGTTTCTTACATTGTAAAAAGAAATCTGGAAGGTAATTTTCCAGAAATGCTGAGTACGGAAACTAGGAAAGAATCTGCTTTGTAATTGTGTACAATGGCCCTGAGGTACTACATACTAATAATCACTGTGGTGCTGAATTTTAAATAAAGGAAAAAATTGATATTAAAACATGGAAAATGATGTAGTTTAAAAGAAAATGATTTAAATAAGACAGTCACTGACATATCTAATCACAGGCATCCCTCACCCATCCATATTCAGCTTTTGTGTGGTCTCAGAGCATTAGAATAGATCCAAGAATTGGAAAGGTAAGCAAAAAAGGCCCCTGACAAGAACTTTTAAATCCATATAGCAAAACATACTTTCTTCATACGAGAGGTACTTATTCAGAGTCCCTGAACTCTTAGTTTAAACACAAGTCTAACTAAATCACTTGTTTGGTATTCTAGCACAGAGCATATGAAAAGAGAGAGGAAATAACACTAACAGGTAGCAGTAAAATAAGACAACATAAAGCAAGTAAAAAGAGAAGACAAGGAGGAGAGAAGAGATAAAACTCAAAATCGCTGCAAGCTATAGCTACTCAGTGTAAAGGCAGAAACACCCAAAAAAGGCTCTTTATCACAGCTCAGAATAATAACTAATGTTCATATTAATGACCTTGAATCAGTAAAAGGTAAAGTTATGTTTAGTTTGTTGTAGGAATATAAAGAAAGGCATGTGACGGATTTGAAAAAGTCTTTCTTCTAAAAGTAAAACAAAGAAACAAAATGAAAGTAGTACTTTGGTAAACAGGTAAGCTTAGTTACCTAAAACAATGATTTTATTGTGATAATCTATGCCTATGTTCTGAATATAAGCAAATGTAGAGTTTTGTAAATTGATCATAACACCTATGCTCAGGCTCACCTCTTCCTCCTTTCTTTGCCATATATCAGTACTCAGCGTCAAGGTCACCTTGAACCACTGAAAGAGCTGACGCTGGCATGGACTACCATCAGCCATGTCATGAAACAGTTGTGAGACACCTAGATTTAGATTCCCAAGATCTGGATTTAAATTCTGGCTTTATCACTTTATTAGTTATGTGACTTTAAAAAATGAACCTCACCTCAGTTTCTACCTCTGTTTAAAAAAAAAAAAAAAAAAAAGAGGGCGCCTGGGTGGCCTCCAACTTCGGCTCAGGTCATGATCTCACAGTTCGTGGGTTTGAGCCGTGCATCGGGCTATGTGCTGACAGCTAGCTCAGAGCCTGGAGCCTGCTTCAGATTCTGTGTCTCCCTCTCTCTCTGACCCTCCCCCGCTCACGCTGCCTCTCTCTCTCTCTCAAAAAAAAAGAAACATTAAAAAAAAGATATTCTGAATTTATTATTTTATCAAAAACATATTTAATACTAATTATGGACACATTTAAGAAACAAATTAAAATCTGAAAGGGCAACACCACTTCAGTGATTCCGTGTAAATCACTGCACCTAAACTAGTCATCTCCATCTTTCCACCACCCTTGGCCACAGTGAGAGACTGAGAAATGGCATATGACCCAAGCTGATCCAAGCAATACTCATTCTGGGGCTTTTGCTAGACTAGCTGAATAGAAAGAGTTTCTTACCATGGGAGGCGGGGGTGGAAGGAAGGTGTTTGCTGAGGAATAAGATACAGACACACAAGTATCCTGTTACCAAGAAATTAAAGGCTACCTAGGAACAGAACCAATAGAGGAGAAGGTCAGAGCTAAGAAAAAGATGCCTGTCATATCATTTGAGTTCCTGGAGCCAGCTGTGCCTGAAGCCATGTGCTCTTTTTCCTTAAGACGGTCTGAACTGGATTCTCTGTGACTTCTGACCAAAAGACGACTGACACATACAAGCCAGAAGAAATTCCCTTTGAACTGTGGACAAGATGAACTACATCAACCAAGAATTTACTTTGCAAATGACGGGGTATACTATTTAGTGGATTAAAAATTAATGATCACTCAAGCTTCCTTGACCTAAATCATCTTAACCTTCTTTGGAAAGGAAATGAACTATTACTGGACAAGGATGAAGAGCTCACCAAGTCTGTAACCACAGGCTGAATGTGGACTTTGTTACAGTGTGCCGTCTCCAGGGTACATGCTGCTGCCTCGGGGTTGATATCAGTGCACCTATACACAGAAAGGAAAGAAAACTGTATCTGTGTCCCTGAAGCACGGCCATTACTGAAAAAGTTTTTACGTGTTCCACGGCTTTTACATAAAGCAGATTTAGAAAAAAATTAAAATGATTTAATAACGGTGAATGAAAAGAACAAAGACTTGTTATATTAATGGAAAAGACTGTTAGTATGGACATACATGTGCAAGAGTAGAAAAATACACATACATGCGTACAGAGCTGAAAGGATTTTTTGAATTATGAATCCAGGGGCACCTGGGTGGCTCTGCTGGTTAAGTGTCTGATCCTTGATATCAGTTCAGGTCATGATCTTATAGTTCGTGAGTTCAAGCCCCATGTCTGGCTCTGCACTGAGAGTGTGGATCCTGCTTGAGATTCTCTCTCTCTGCCCCTCCCCTGCTCTTTCTCTTTCCAATGAATACTATGCAGCCACCAAAAATGAAATTTTTAAAAGATTTTAAAAGAATGTTTATTTATTTTCGGTGTGTGAGAGAGAGAGAGAGAGAGAGAGAGAGAGAGAGAGAAAGCAGAGGAGGGTCAGAGAGAGAGAGGGAGAGAGAGAATATCAAGCAGACTCCATGTTCAACCTGACTTGGGGCTCGATCTCACAACTTTGAGAACAGAACCTGAGCCGAAATCAAGAGATGGATGTTCAAATGACTGAGCCACCCAGGTGCCCCCACAAGATTAAATTTAAAAGGAATTTTTGAAAAATGTTCATGATACAATAGTAAATGAAAAACATAGAAAATGGGGAAAAAAGAAGGAAACACATTTGGACCATCTGTAGTAAAATTTGGGAAGTAATTTTTATTTTCTTCTTTATGCTTTCCATATTCTCAAATTTTCCTTAAAAATTTCAATAACTTTCAATTCTTTCTGGTAATCAGACTGTTTATCTAAAACAATTTCTTTTATTTTTTTTTTTAATTTTTTTAATGTTTTATTTATTTCTAGGAGAGAGAGAGAGACAGCGTGAGCAGGGGAGGGTCAGAGAGAGGGAGTCACAGACTGAAACAGGCTCCAGGCTCTGAGCTGGCAGTCAACACAGAGCCCGACGCGGGGCTCAAACCCACCAACCGCGAGATCATGACCTAAGCGAAAGTCGGACGCTTAACCGACTAAGCCACCCAGGCGCCCCTAAAACAACAATTTCAAATTCAGAAGTGACCTAAAATTGTTTTATTGCTTCTATAATTGAATAGTATGATGGAACTGTTTTGAACATGCAGTTATAATTTTTAGGGAAGAATAATTTACCATGAGTCGTTACTACACTTAAATAGACACTTTCAGATACGAAGTATTTACTTACAAAAATGATTTCATTCAAGTAGTCACCCCTAGTGAATTTCTTAGTGGAAGATGTCAATAAATTTGATATACTTACACTTACATGTACAAGGCCTGAGGGCCTATCATAGAGGCTAGGAATGCAGACACCACTCCAGACCCTGACCCTACTTCAAGGCATATTTCCACTCTAAAAAAAGCAAAATAAAATAAATATTAGTGTAGTAAGATTAAAATACACATTACAGAAAATTACTTTCATCCTACTTTTAATGTATATTTCTCCATCATCACCAGTTGTCTGCAAATATATGGAAATATTTTTAAAAATGTACAAACACACTAATTTCTGACCATTGCTTTGTGCACATTTAGTACTGTTTACTCAAAATCGGGCATGCAATTAAGTTCATAAAATAGATGACTTTCAATTAATTTCTACAAAACATTACATAAAAACTGTGGAATAAAACTGAGGATTGAAAATATCGGTGTGAAGGGCATCTGGGTGGCTCAGTTGGTTAAGCCTCCGACTTTGGCTCAGGTCATGATCTCACAGTTCATGGGTTCGAGCCCCATGTTGGGCTCTGTACTGACAGCCAGCTCAGAGCCTGGAGCCTGCTTCAGATTCTATATCTCCCTCTCTCTCTCTGACCCTCCCCTGCTCACACTGTCTCTCTCTCTCTCTCTCTCTCCCGGAGCCTGCTTCAGATTCTATATCTCCCTCTCTCTCTGACCCTTCCCTGCTCACACTGTCTCTCTCTCTCTCTCTCAGGAAATAAATAAAACATTTTTAAAAAAAGAAAGAAAGAAAGAAAATATTAGCGTGAAAGACATCGGCCTTTCCCACAAGGAGCTTCTGGTTTAGTGTTTCCTAAAATGACAGGGTTAGTATTATTATAATATTTATTTATGAATGAGGTTTTCTCTATCATTTAAAGGTACATAACACCCATAAATTGATCAGCATATCTGGGTGGGGGGAGGGAAGTTCCACCTTTCTACTAATAGATTTAGAGCTGCAAAGAAATTCCATTATTTGTACAGCTATACACTAAAGTGGGAAAATACGAGTATTTGGTTTTAGAATATTAACAATAATCTTTAAAATGCTTTTGAATACATTCTTCGTTATACTATATTTTATCCTTCAATTAAATTTCCCTGCTTATAATCTTACATATGCATCAAAAGCACCAATTATCTCTATCACAGAAATGGGTTTGGTGGGATTTAGGGAGTCTCTCTAGCACCTAACTCCTGAAACAAGGATCCCAACAACAAATGCTAGCTGCTTCTGCCTTCTGGAAATCAGTCCACATTATCTGACAAACCTTTATTATTCTGTAGGAAGGTCTGTTGAATCTTACCAGGCGGCTTTTATTTGAAAATAACTATCATGGTTTCATAAACAATTAGAATTCCAAGACCAGAAGTAATCCCACTTTTGTAACAAATTCGGCTCCTTTCACAGCATACTTTGCAATGCAATTTGTCCTTATAAATCTTCCTGGGATATTTTGAGACTAAATGACAAGTTATAAAAACAGTACTTTTTCTATTTGGTATCCGGTAAATCCAAAAGTTCCATCGTTTACAGTGAAAAGCTAGTTTAATAAGAGTTGTGACATTTCATATCTGACCAGATTTAAGACAGATAAACACAATACATATCTTTAAAGCCTGACAGCTGTCTCATCTTGAGAATATCAATTTCAACTCTTGATCTTTAAATAAATCTAATTACTCAAATACCTTTCATTAAGAAAATTACAATGTAGGTATTCATACTTTTTTTTAATGTTATTTAAAATTTATGGGGGCACTTCAACACGCAAATTTTAGTATTTATAAAGTGCTAGGGAAAATTCTGTAGGCTGCTAGCTATGGAACTATTTGAATTTGTAACAATTAAATGAAACATGAGGTTCTGCAGTCGCCCTTGCCACATTTCAAGCGTTCAGTAGCCAAACGTGGCTAACTGGCAATTGTTAGAGTATCGTCTGCAATGGATTTAAAAGTCCTTCCCCGGGCCAGTATCTCACAACCTCATTTCATTTTTGCACCCTTCCACTGCTCCCGGGTGCTTCGGTGAGTGAAGTTAAACGCCACGCGGCTTTTAACATTTACTAAAAAAATGTAATACTAATAAGTTCTGTTGGTGTTTGAACCTGTTATAATCTTGCTGCGCTCGGGGGCTTTGTGTTCTTCAGACTATAACAGGTGAAAGGAAAAGATCCATCCTGGCGTGGAAAGGAGCTCCGGAGCCCAAAACAACAACTGGCAAACGTAGACAGATCCCTGGCACGCTCATTACGTGTATCTACAGGAAAACCCGCAGTCACGGAGTTTTGGCGTCCGTGTTCGCCAAGTGGGCTGACGCTGCCTCCCCTGCGGGCGGACAGCATCGCTCCGCTCCTTGGCCCTCCTTCGCTACCGCCACTCCAGGACGCCCGAGCCCTCTCCCGCGGGAACCCTCGCCCTCCTCGCACCCCATGAGCTCGGCCGCTGCCGCCTCCAGCGCGTCCAGCAGCAGGAACGTATCCTCCGCTGGCTCGTACACATTGCTGAAGGCGCCTCGGCCCACGTGTCCGTGCAGCGGCGTCGGAAGACCCGGCGCCGCCATCTTTCTCCTCTCCATCCCACGCGCATGCGCCAAAGTTGCGCGTGCGCAATCTCGGCAGTGGGGGGCGGGGCGCCGAAGGCGGAGAGGCAAATCGGGACTTCTTTCTAGCCGGCTATGTAAATACTTTTGGAATTTCGAAGTGAACAGTTATATAATCTGCAACTGCTGATGTTTGCTTTCTTATTCCGAGTATTTAAATTTGTTTCATTTTATGGATTCGCAGTTGATGCAGGGCATCCTCGATTGTATTTGACTAAGGGGAGCGTTCTTTTTTTCTCTTTTCTACATTTAAAAGTTTTCTTCTGTTCCTTCTTTGCAAAGAATTGAAAAAAGACGTAATGATTACTAAATTTTACCCTTTTTTTATACATCAACTGAACATTTAAGCTTTTTTCTCATTGTTTTTTACTATAGCATATTATAAAAAAGATCTTCCTGATGTTAAATCATGAATGCACTCTTTTTAAAACCTCACTCAGGCAACATGATTTTTCTTTTAATACCCTGCTGAATTTGGAATGCTAATAATCTAGCTCTGTTTTGATTATGCTATCCTCACGGGATGAGTTAGGACATTGTTTCTGGAACATTTGGTAGAACTCATCCATAAAATTGGCGGGGCTTAGTGCTTTTATTAGTGGGTGGTTCTGACGTTTTGGAGCATCTTTAGGTTATAGACTATTCAGGCACTTACATTCTTTTTAAGTCAATTTTTGAAATTCCCCAATGGAATGTTTTTTCATCTAGTTTTTAAAATTTGAGTAGTAAATATACAGAAAATTATAGTTTACATTTTTAAAACCCTGAGTACATACCCCCCAGAATTTACAATTAACAGTACGTTTTCATGTTTCCTTAAAAGTTTTTGTTTTATCTTTTAAGTACATAATATACTATACATTATTACTTAATATGTATGCTAAATATAATATTTATTATAGGGAATTAGCTCACATCGTTATGGAGACTGGAAAATAATCTGCAGAGCTGATTTCCATCCTTAAAAGAGTTTTTAATAGTGTTGTTGTTTTAAATTTTTAGTTATTTTTGAGAGAGAGAGTGAGATGGAGAAGGGCAGAGAGAAGACAGAGAATCTGAATTGGGCTCCACACTGACAGCAGAGAGCCTGATGTGGGGCTTGAACTCGGGAACTGTGAGAGCATGCCCCGAGCTGAAGTCTGATGTTTAACCAACTGAGTCACCTAGGCACCCCAAAAGAGTTTTTAAATATAAGAACTAAAATATTATAGATGAAGTGCATGTTCTTTCTGTATTCACCTTCAGTTTCATTTTGTAACCCTTTCTCCAAATTAACTTCTCTCGTGAACTTAGCATGTATCCCTCTAATCAATGCTTTTATGCTTTTACATTCAGATAATCATGAGCAGCATATGGTTTGTGTGTTTTCAAATTTGTTTCACTGGTAATAGGATGGACATCCTGTTCTTCATATTTCTTTTTCACTCAAAATTTTCACTATTTGTTTTCATATATATCAAGTTAGTTTATTCCTTTTAATTGCCAGAGTATTACATGAAAATATAAATACCCTATCTGGAATGGATAAGTATCTATTGGTAAACATTTAATCCTTTCCAGCTTTTCACTATTATAAACAACACTGTAATTAGCTTTCCAAAACATGTTGTTTTTTTTTCTGGGCCTGTACGAAAGTTTCCTAGGATTCAAGCCAGAGTGGATCAACAGTGTTGTATACACATTGTCAATTTCACTAAACATTTTCAAGTCTCCAAATTTCTCTTCAAACTAATTGTGCTTAGTTGGTGGCAGATTTAGTATTTGACTTCATATTATTATACTTATTTACTTATTTATTTTAAATTGAAGTGGTCTAATTGCTAATTAAGTTTAGGCGTGTGTTCTACATGTTCTTCATTTGAGTTTTCTTCCTTTGTGAATTGTCTGTTCATTTTTGCTTATTGTTCCTTCTTAGTTTTGTTTTTATTTTCATCAGAGTTGATACATGCATAATTTAATAGGCCAAATAACTCTACATGATTTCTTATGAAAAACAGCCCATGCTGGTACACCAATATCCAGTTTCTTATGTGTCCTGCTGCAGCTCCAGAGGTGACCATTTTCAACTTTTAGCTGTTTCTTTGGCTGTTTATCCATGTCTCTGCATACCAAGCTTGTAATGATATTACTTCATTTCTCAATTTTTGCAATATCTGTTGAGTTCTCATGATAGAAGATAAAGTTCACATGAAAGAAGGCAAGAATTTGATTCTCCTGCCTCCAGTAAACAAATGTAATTGCCAGGTCCCCCTTCCTATCTGCCCAATATGGTTATATAATGATTTTTTTTAATGTTTTATTTATTTCTAGGAGAGAGAGAGAGACAGCGTGAGCAGGCGAGGGTCAGAGAGAGAGGGAGTCACAGACTGAAACAGGCTCCAGGCTCTGAGCTGGCAGTCAGCACAGAGCCCGACACGGGGCTCGAACCCACGAACCACGAGATCATGACCTAAGCGAAAGTCGGACACTTAACCGACTAAGCCACCCAGGCGCCCCTATAATGATTTTTTTGTTGTTGTTGTTTTTGCATTATTCTGTCTATAGAAATCCTCCTTGGGACTGATCTCTGTATTATACCGTTACTTTTTGTCCTTGCACAACTATTTGCTTTTCCTTAAGGTTAATAATTATCTGGTATATGAATTTCCTAAGTCTGCCATAACATATGATCACAAACTGGATGGCTTAAAACAACAGAAATGTGTTCCCTCACTTCAGGAGGACAGAAGTCAGAAATCAAGGTGGTGGGAGGGCCATGCTCCCTATGAAGGCTCTAGAGAAGTTTCCTTCCTTGCCTTTTCTAGCTTCAGGTGGTTGGCAATAATCCTTGGCATTTGCGTGGCTTGAGGCATTTCTGCCCTGGTCTTCAAGTGGACTTTTTGATTGTATGTCTTTCTTTCTCCAAACCTCTTTCTTTATAAGGACACCAGTCATTGGATTTAGGACCCATCCTAATCCAGTATGACCTCATTTTAACTTGATTACATCTGCAAAGACCTTATGTGCAAATAAGACATATATATGTATATAGGAGTGGGGTGGAGGAGAGTTTAGGATTTCAGCCTATCTTTTTGAGGAATGTGACTTAACCCACAATACTTAGTAGTAACTACTATTTCATTTACATAGTTTTTTCTATCCTATAGTTGTTTATCCTCTGTTTGGCCTCTGCCCCATCCCAATACATTTAAAGATGTTGAGGGGTACCTGGGTGGCTCAGTCGGTTGAGCGTCCAACTTTGGCTCAGGTCATGATCTCACAGTTTGTGGGTTTGAGCCCTGCACTGGGCTCTGTGCTGATAGTTCGGAGCCTGGATCCTGCTTCGGATTCTGTGTTTCCCTCTCTCTCTCTGCCCCTCCCCCACTAATGCTCTGTCTCTTTCTCTCTCTCAAAAATAAATAAACATTAAAAAAAATGTAAAGATGTTGAGCATTCTGGCTATTTCTATCTAATCTATTTAGGCACCTATATATGTCTATGGAATTCATCCCTTGATTCTGCTTCTTTGGCTTCATTCTCAGGCCACCCCTCCCCCTGATACCAGGCCGCATCTTGACAGCTTCACACCAACAAATTCAGTGGAAGAGTCTTTTTCAATTGCTTGCGCTGAAGTCCTTTCATTCACTCTTTCTTGTTGGCCCCAAATGGGTCATATGCTTATGCCTGAATTGATCCTATGGCCAGGTAGATGAAATGATTTCCTCCCACTTGCCTGGGGGCATGGGGTGAGGCCTCATCGCAGCCAGATAGCTAAAGTGGTACCCCAAGAGCAAAATTGTGGTGCTGACTTGAGTGCTGGGCAAAACCGCAAAACATCTACTACAAAGGAAATGTCTCACATACGGTTGGTATTTATGTCCTTCCATTTTGCTTTTGCCTTTTGGTTTTGTTTACAATATTTTTGCTCTGCAGATATCTAAAAATTATTAAATCTGTTTTTTGGTTTCTGATTTTTGTACTGTGCTTAGAAAATGCTCTTTAAAAGTTTATTTTCTGGTTTCAAAGTATAGACTTCACTATATTACTTGGATCTACCATATTAACTAGGTCTTTAGATCTTTTAGAATCTTTTTTAAAAAATATTTTTTAATGTTTATTTATTTTTGAGGGAGACAGAGCATGAGCAGGGGAGCGGGAGAGGTAGAGAGAGAGGAAGACGCAAAATCTGAAGCAAGCTCCAGGCTCTGAGCTGCCAGCACAGAGCCCGATGTAGAGCTTGAACTCACAAACTGTGAGATCATGACCTGAGCTGAAGTTGGTCGTTTAACCAGCTGAGACACCCAGACACCCCTAGATCTTTTAGAATATTACTTTATATTAACTTGATCTTTAGTGGCCTGAATGAAGTAATTTAATTGTTTATAATAAATGTAAGCAAATTTATTTTGCTTTTGTCCACTTCTTATATGTTTTGGTAGTTTTAGTTTTTGACTTTTATTGCTATGCCAAGAGCAATATTTATGATTGATGCATTTTAAAAAATAATTTTAAAAAAGATTTTGTTTTTAAGTAATCTCTACACAGTGTGGGACTCAAACTTACAACAGCAAGGTCAAGAGTTGCACGCTTTACCAACTGAGTCAGCCAAGTGTCTCAATTGATACCCCTTGACTGATAATTATGTCTGCTGTAAAATTGGCTGTCTATGTCTTGCTTACTGCTTCTTATTGTCAATTCAACCTTGCCTGAATTGAAGAATACAACCTTACCTTTCTTTTTGTTTTTATTTTCTTAATATGCTTTTTTCTTTCACTGTCATTCTTTGACCCTTAAACTCTGAAACACACACACACACACACACACACACACACAAACACACACACACTTTCTCACAGTGTTCTGTTGATCAATACCATATCTGCTCTTAAGAAAGATGAAAGTTCTCAGGGCCCCTGGGTGGCTCAGTCGGTTAAGCATCTGACTCTTGATTTTTGCTAAAAAATCAAGCCCCACGTTGGGCTCTGAGCTGACAGTTTGGAGCCTGCTTGGGAATCTCTCTCTCCCTCTCTCTCTGCCCCTCCCCAACTTGTGAGTGTGCTCTCTCTCTCTCTCTCAAAATAAATAAATATTTTTTTAAAAAGAAAAATTTACTGGACTTTGAAAATGACTCAAAATTCTCATAGACACACTCACAGGCAGTGCTGCAAGGGGACTGGTGTGCCTTTGGGAAAAGGACATAACCCTGGGCAAAGCAGCTCTCTTTCCCAGGGGCAATTCCTGGAGAGAGACTTGCCTGTAAACTGCCAGCAGGTGGCAGCACTAGTGCCTTGGCCCCCAGTGGGAATCGGGTGGTACCACAGCACCCATTACACCATTCTGCCATTTTGAGGGAAATTTAGGCTTCCAACTAGCATATCTTCTCTTCAGTTGAATATATTCTGCTTTGTGGCTTATTTATTGAGATTTTTATTTGGTAAGCATTTTTTTTTTTCTAATATGGGTTTTGTTTCGTTTCATTTTGTTTTCTTTTAAGTAGGCTTCACACCCATTGTGGAGCCCAACATAGAGTTTGAACTCACGACCCTGACATCAAGACCTGACCTAAGATGGAGAGTCATATGTCCAACCGGCTGAGCCACCCAGGCGCATCCAAGCATCACGTGAGCTTTAAAGGCACAGAGGGACACTCCGAGGTAGAGGCTGACTTCTGTTGCCTCTGTTATTTCAACTGGGAAGCCAGGTTGTAGACGATCTTGATTTCTCTGCAATGACTGTGGCTGGGGTCTCAGAGCTCTAGCTTCATAGGTGTTGAGAAGTAGGGCACAGCTTCTTTATTTTGATGCTGTGGCTGGTGTCATAGATGGCCTGGGTCTGGAGCCAAGAGCTGCAGCAACCAATTCCTCCTGGCAGGGCCACAAGCTCAGTTCTATAATGGGACTTTAAGAGGTATTCCCTGAAGCTCAGCCCAGAGCTGATCTTCTTCAGACCTCCTGATGACTCTGATGCCCATTAGATATCCTGTAATAAATTCCTTTTAGCTTAGCCAAACTGGAGTGGATTTTGTATGCAATAAAACCTTCACTGATACATGTGGATGCCTGGCATTTTCTGGTATATTACAGTTGTGCTTTCTTGTTTCAGAGATGTTTTACATTTGTTATTTTAGGGGTATTACTAGTGGCTTTGGTGGTATTAGGATCAAATGCTTAGGCATTTTGATTTCATCTTCCTAGTGAGAATTCACTTTACTCCGAGACAACAGAGTTTAATAACCTAATGTAATAAGAGATATATTCACTCTTAAAAAGGTTTTGGTCCAGCCTCTTGCAGCTCTTGCAGTATGATAATATCTTTCTCCTCCTCCTCTTCCTCCTCCTCCTCTTCCTTCTTCTTCTTCTCCTTCTCCTCCTCCTCCTCCTCCTCCTCCTTCTTTTGGCAAGAGTTATTTAGCAAGTTCTTATCCCACCTAAGCCTGGCTTGCATATTTTAAAATTTTATTTTAGAGAGAGAGTGTGTGTGTAAGTAGGGGAGAAGGGCAGAGGGAGAGAGAGAGAGAGAAAGAGAGAGAATCTTAAGCAAGCTCCATGCTCAGTGTGGAGCCCGATGTGGGGCTTGATCCCACAACACTGGGAGCATGACATGAATTGAAATCAAGAGTCAGATACTCAACTGACTGAGCTACCCAAGTGCCCATTGCTTGTGTTTTAATAGAAACCACAAGTTGCAGCTGGAGTTTTCCATGACTTCAAGACTGACACAAATCTTGACTCAATTACAAGTCTTCTCTTGATATAAGGGGACTCCATAGGGGGTTTAAGTTAATTCTACCATAGTCTAGTAGTTAGTGAAATAATTCATGAGCCTAAAATAGCTAATATTCTGTGCATCTTTAAAAATTCTTAATTTTTACAACCAAATGATTCTTTCTAAATGTTTTTATTTCCATAAAGCATCAATCCTTCAAGGTTGATCATTACACTTACAAAACACTATTGACAAAGGAGCATCTTGGTAGCTCAGTTAGTTGAACATCTGACTCTTGATTTTGGCTCAGGTTATGATCCCAAGGTTGTGGGATCAAGCTCTGTGCTGAGTGTGAAGCCTACATAAGGACCTCTCTCTCTCCACCTCTGCATCTCTCCCCCACTGGTGCTCTCTCTCTAAAATAAAAACAACAAACAACAACAACAACACCAAAAACATACCTTGAGACAAATTGGGAGAAAATATTTGTAAAAAACACAGTTGATAAAGGACTGTTACCCAATATATACAGAGAATCTCAAAACTCAACAATAAGAAAAAAGAAGCAGATTAAGAAAATGGGCAAAAGATCTGAAATGACAACTCACCAGATTGCAAATAAGCATATGAAGCTATGTTCAACACTATATGTTATTAGGAAATCTCAAATTAAAACAACAATGGGATACAACTGTTTACTATTAGAATGGCCAAAAATGAAAACACTGACAACACCAAATGCTGGCGAGGATGTGAAGCAATAGGAACTCTCATAGACTGCTGGTGGAAATGCAAAATGGCAGTCACTTAGGAAGACAGTTTGGTGGTTTCTTACAAAATTAAACAGACTCTTACCATACAATCCAATAATTACACTCCTTGGTGTTTCTTTACCCAACTGAGTTGAAAACTTCTGTCTACACAAGAACCTGCACACTGATGTTTGTAGCAGCTTTGTTCATAATGCCCGAGCTTGGAAGCAACCAAGATTATTTGGTCTTTCAGCAGGTGAATGGATGAATAAAATGGTGATACATCCAGACAATAGACTATTTTTTAGCCCTAAAAAGAATTGAACTATCAAGCCAAGAAAAGATATGGAGGAAACTTACATGTGTATTAATAAGTGAAAAAAGCCAATCTGAAAATGATATATATATGGTATGATTCTAATTATATGGCATGCCAGAAAAGGCAAAACTATAGAGACAGTAAAAAGATCAGTAGTTGTCAAGGGTTAATGAGGAGAAAAGGATGAAGGTGAGGCACAGATTTTTAGGGCTGTGAAATTATCCTGTATGATATTATGGTGATACATATATACACTTGATAAAACCTTTAGAATTTACACCAAGTGTGAATCTTAATGTAACCAATGGACTTCAGGTGATAATCGTGTCAGTATTGGTTCACTGATAGTAACAAACGTATCCCTGTGTGTGTGTGTGTGTGTGTGTGTAGGAGGTATATGAGAACTCTTTATTTTCCAGTCAATTTTGCTGTAAATCTAAAACTGCTCTAAAATATAAAGTCTACTTAAAAGAAACATTAGGGCAAATTAAAAAAATATATTTTTAGGGGCACCTGGGTTGCCCAGTCAGTTAAGTGTCCAACTTTGGCTCAGGTCATGATCTCACAGTCCGTGGGTTTGAGCCCAGCGTCAGGCTCTGAGGCTCAGGTCATGATCTCGCAGTCCGTGGGTTCGAGTCCAGCGTCAGGCTCTGTGCTGACAGCTCAGAGCCTGGAGCCTGCTTTGGATTCTGTGTTTCCCTCTCTCTCTGCCCCTTCCCTACTCATGCTCTGTCTCTCTCTGTCTCTCAAAAATAAATAAACATTAAAAAATTTTTTAAAAATATTTTTTTAGGAGCACCTGGCCGGCTCATTTGTTTTTTGTTTTGTTTTGTTAAATTTTTCTTAATGTTTATTTATTACTGAGAGGGAGAGAGAGAGGGAGAGCATGAGCAGGGGAGGGTCAGAGAGAGAGGGAGACACAGAATCAGAAGTAGGCTCCAGGTTCTGAGCTGTCAGCAGAGAGCCCAATGCGGGGCTCGAACCCACAGACAGTGAGATCATGACCTGAGCCGAAGTCGGACGCTTAACCGACTGAGCCACCCAGGTGCTCCCTGGCTGGCTCATTTGGTACAGCATACATCTATTGTGGGTTCTGCTTTCAGCTTTCTCCTGCAAAAGGCAGAAAAGATTACCCAACACTCCATGCAAGTGAAGAGAGATGAGAGGGAGGCTTAGGGAAGTGTTCCTGAGCTGCTTTCAAGCTCCCATATTTATTAAGCATACATTCAGGGAAACAATATGCAATAGGTCAGTGGACTATGTGCCAGAAAGAATGTAATGAAAACCTGCAGAAAAACAAGTTAACACAGGATAAAATATTCCATGGGATAACATGGTCTAAGGAATTTATGAGCACAGACAGGACCTAAACCCTAGATGTACATTAGCTAGATAAGCTAAGCATGGCTGCTGTTTTCAGCAAGGCCAGAAGCCAGTGTTCTGTTTTGCAATGCATTCCCTATAATCTCCTAACCCGGGACATAGCTATTTGATTTTCCACAACTCTTGATCTTGGGGTTGTGAGTTTGAGCCTCTGTTGAGTGTAGAGATTACTTAAAATAAAATCTTTAAAAAATGTTTTTTAAAGTTTATTTATTTTGAGAGAAACAGAGAGCAAGAGAAAAAGAGGGAGAGAGAGAATCCTAAGCAGGCTCCATGCTGTCAGTGCAGAGCCTGACGTGGGGCTCAAATTCACAAACCGTGAGACCATGACCTGAGCTCAAATCAAGAGTTAGATGCTTAACTGACTGAGGCACCCGGGTGCCCCCAAAATAAAGTCTTTAACATATATATACATATACATACATATACACATACATACATATATGTATATACACATTTGTTTGTTGTTTTTATTTGCTTACACTTACAAGGTAATTTTAAGTATTTTTATTAAAATTATACTTAGAGTTAAAAGATAAGCATGTTTTAGTTAATAAAATGCCTCTTACTATCACTATTATCATAATTATTATTTGACTTTAAAAATTCCTCAATAGGCTTTAGAAATTTAGTGATCAGTGAGAAAAAATTGAGAAAAAAACATTGAGAAAAAATATATCTATACTTGACAACATTGCTTTTTGTCTTCTGATGTTGCTATTGTTAATATTTTCATGCCATAATGACCCCAGTTAAAAGTGTGGAAAAGAATCCGTGTAATACAGCATGACCAGTACAGTAAAGCTGTATTTAGAGCCAGTCGAATTGTCGAGAGGTTTACTCATCCACTGGGTAATTTCACAACCTTCTTCTTAAATTTGGTTGCTTTGGACACATCTTGTCCTGGAAACAAACTCTAGGCTCCATAATACATTCAGAAATAGTAGATTCACGTCTTTTTTTCCAGCTGGTCCTGGTAGGGTTTACACATTTACTCCTACACATATCAATTCCATTACTTTGGCACAATAGAAGGTCACATGAAAGAGGGGACTCTCTCAGCCTGTCCATAGTTGGAAAATTAATTCTTTTAAGTGCTTTTAAAAAATCTCTACAGGTGGTCAGGTCTTATGAACTTAGGACCAGCAATGACCTCATCACCTTCAGCTGGTCTAAATGTTATCTTTGGCTGCTGAGTACTTTTTGAAATCTTGTTAATTATGATTGTTTTTCCTAGTTATAAGTCCTTCTGGATAAATTTTTATAAAACATTTATTTTTATTGCTTACATAACTACATAAAATATTTTCATTGGTGTCAAAATGTCATGTTATTGCCAAACAGATTCCATTTCAATTTCTAGAAATTATTGGAAAGTTAATATTCACATTTTAATGGCACCCTTGCTATAGTATTAAATCATGCTTTGCTGAAATTTACAACAGAAGTCATAATTACATTGTGTTTATACAGAATAAAGCACAGGATAGACAAC